CACACACACACACACACATATATATATATATATATATGTGTGTGTATGTGCGTATGTTTTTGTGCAGGTCTCTTTATACGTATTGATATACATTTTTTATTTCATATTTCGATGTCGTAGAGAGTCATTCAGACATGTGTTCCTTTAATATAGTATAAATGCGGTAAAGGTCACACGATATTGCGAATGTGCTGTCTATCGCGTAGGTGAGGAGGAAGAAGAGCAGCGCTCAGAAGGTAAGGAACAAACTGAGAACAAGGAGGGTACTGAGAAAACCGAGTCAGCCGCACCACTCGGCAGAAAAGAGATGCACGTGATCTCCGAGAAGAAACGCAGAGAGGCAATGCGGGAGAAGTACGCAGAACTGATTGGACTCATACCGTCGTGCGATGAGAAGACTACGAAGTTGGATGTGCTCGGCAAGGTATGTAGACGCGAGTTCTGTAACGCGCTTTTGTTTTATTAATCTCTGGTGTACCGTATTATGCACAGAAGAGTTAATCTAATCAGGGGTAGTTTTCGGAGCCCTTTGTAGAGCTGAATACGAAGACGCCTTCTCGTGATTGTGTGTGCAACCTTTCTCTTGTAATCAATAGTGGATCTATTCGATTCAGACCCATTCGCGAGCATTCACTTACCTCGTATGTATGTATCGGACATGTGAAACCGATTCTTTTGTCACATGTAATGCCAGGAATAGCGTGTTGCACAGATAATAGAATCATGAATATGCCAGAGCTACATGTGTTGTCGGCTCTGGTGTTGTTATAGGAGTGCGCGCGCAGCTTGTAGACGAATACTGATTATCCAAGTTTACGCAGCAGCGTTTATTTGATGTATATTGGTCTGAACGACATGTCCGAAATTAATGTCCGAAATTAATACATCCATACATGTGAATATAAAACATTGATTGTAAAATAGACTTCTTCATTGTGTATCGCAGTGTATGTCCGGTTGTATACCGTTGTGTATTACTGTATACCTCCGGGTGTACGCTTATTTCATATTTTCTGTCAAGCGGTCACGCTAACCCGTTTATATCACGCTTTGATTGGCTAAACTTGCAGGCGGCGGACTACATCGCCTACGTGAAGGAGAAAATAGACAAAGCAAAACAAGAGCACGACATGTATGTACGCTTGGTAGAAAAGCTGGGTCCTAATGGAATGAACAATCCTATGGGTGCGATGGCACATCCGGTATGTCCCAACCGAATCTGGTTGTGCATTATCATCAATGCTTCGTATGGCTATCAGCGCTTGTGCAAAAGTTTGGACTCTGGAGTCCATTGAGTGGCGTCTCTTAATTATACTCGACTTTGGGCTTGTTTTTCTTCTCGACACGTTCGGGCATTGTGCCTAAGTTGTATGTTTGTATTGAAGATTAAACCTGATACTTTGCAGTTCTGCTTATGAAATATATCCTCATCTGCAGTCAGCTGGGGCGTTCGAGTTGTGGAGCCTAGTGCGGATTGTGGAACCTTCTAAACAAGTTTGTTTAGTATCCACATTGTTTTTCGTTGTAGTTTCTATGTCTGCACGATACAGGGGAGGGTTTACTGGGGAATTAGTAGCGGTTGTGCTACATTTATTTACTTCGCACCTGATATTGACCTCTTCTATTTTCTCCCGTGATGCGTGATCCTTTCAGGGCGAGCCGCCGCGAATGCCAACAATCGATCCCAGGAATTACAACGTCAATACGTTCATATTTGGGAACAAGCCGATGTAGCTCGGCTGAATTTCTCATTTTAAATAAACAGCGGAAATTAATCATTCGGGCATTTGCTTGTCCTTTTTAGTCTTGGGACTTTTACTATGCTGACTGCGAAACTTCCGAGCAAGTGCTATTTTTGTGTATATGACCCCCACGAGGGATGTGATTGTTCACGATATGGCGCGGATTTTTAGAGAGCATACGGGGTTGATCTCTGTGGCGTGTTTAAGTGAGTTCATTGCCTCAAAAGGGGTAATATATGTCTGTAAGCATCGTCATACATCATCCCGGAGTATATAAGAACTTATCGAAATATTCTCCGTCTGTTTCAAGTGCATGGAAGTTTGGGAACAAGGGTTAAAATGAAGCTAATAATCTAGAAATCTGAAGAATGTATTTTATCGCCGTGTATGCATTCTTGTATGGCTAACATTGGGTACCCCCGTAGCGAATGTTCTCGGGATTGCTCCGCTACAGTTAAATGCCTAAAAATAATATTATGATTCTGTTCATACAAGGTGAGTCTCTGCGTCATCATTGTTTTGAACATTAGAATTAATAGCCTAGCTGAAAAAACCAGCGCTTAAGTTATGCCTCCACTGTTGGATTTAAGCTGGGCCGTGCGCCTTCTGTGATACCAAAGCTCCGTTTTTGTAAGAATAGGATGATATTACCGGCATATCACCTCGCGCTCACTATACACATTCTTCGTGACGATAGGTATACAGTGGTTTATACTGCCCATCCAATGTCTCTACTCTCCACTTTTAACACTTAACAGGAAATGGGCTAGCTTTGCAGCACGAGTTGTGCTCAAGTCTTCATTACCTTATACTCTATCCTGTACAATAAGATGCCTGTGTAAAACTCAAACCACTGCAGGCCAGTGAAGGGAAAGCGTGAACTGTGAAGTTTATACAGTATTTCGATTCATTCTGACGATACGTGTACTATTGTCGAGAACGCGAATGTTGTCCATGTGCTCAGCGCGATGCAGTCTTTATATTCAGAGAAACACAAATGAACAACATCCTTTACTCAGGTACGCCAAGCTCAGTTTTACACACGCTCACAGTTGTGCCTATACTATCAGTTCTTCCCCACACCGCACTGTAATTTATCCCTATGAATTAAAGTACAACAATATGGTGCGCCATCACGGATAGTCATCTATTGCCTTTGATACCTTCACTACCTTTTTCTACAGAGCCAGCACAAGGTCTGCTCACATTCTACTTTGTGCTTGAACACTTCGCGCAGCTATTTTTCCACATGACTACCCGCAGGGGGTCACCCGAGCTCGGTAGGCTTCGCCGTTTTAGACCCGTTCTCCTCGCCACACTTCATAGAAGTAATCACAGTTAAATACGATAGTGGTAGTAGTCCTAAATTAGGATTTAGTATAAGAATCCAGTACGAATTAACGACATCAGAACTATCTAGGTTGTATATTCCAAAATTGACCAATACAATTGAAGATAATTAGTCCACCTGGTATGGGGATGTCTGCTATTTGAAAGCCCCAGTATATTCCAAAATTTCCAGTTTTGACAGAATTCCACAATTCACTTACAAAATACGCATCACAGCGTTATGACTCTGCGGGTGAAAAGCCGAGGCCACGCTTGACGGAAGCTCGGTACATACTGGCCACCTGTCGGTATTTTTTAATTTTGTCATAATTTGTCATGGCACACTCTGGATTTGGGCCTGCGCTAAAATAGTAAAATTAAGGAGCCTGATTTCTGCTCGAGGCCCAAATCCTGAAATCCAGAGGCCATGGATTTGTTGTACCGAACTGATATTCATAATTCCGGCAAATGGAACTGACGGTTTTCAATACATTATCTTTCCCAACAACGCGACGGGGACCATTGCCAACTGAAAAAACCGGGGACACTAAAAAATAGAAATAATTTGGTAGCATCATCGCAAAAAATAAAATTTCTGTCGCAGAAAATCAGAAACGCTAAACAATTGCCAACTCACAGGGTTTTTTGCAGCCAATAGAATTACATTCCATAAACAAATTTTCGTATGTTCAAATTTCCGAGCTTGTCTGCTATGTGTGAAAATTTGAAAATATACTCACAGTGACACAGGCTCACACATCACAGTTCACAGTTCACACTCATCAGTCATCATAGACTCACAGTGTACACTTTTATACCCCTGCGGGAATACAAAAAAATAGATTTGAGGGTCCCTCCAGAGTCCAGTGTCTTTTAGTTCTCTTGCTCCAGTCTGTTTATTATGGCCGCATGCTGCCGCTATTTATTATTTATTGGCTATTCTAAATCTACATGTATTTACGATATGTACCAAAAGTCAAATATTTAAATACCAGTGCATAGTAGGGTAGTATAATATACTAAAAAATTCCAGACCGACAGAATAAAAATGCAAGAAAGTCTCAAATATCCGCCGCACCAATAGAAAAAACAACTACGTACAATCAAAAATTGAGCATATATTGGTATCA